GTTTACAACTATCATACTGCAATGACCTAGCTGTATTCCCACGTGTGCCTGTGTACTGCATGGGTGTAAAAAGTACAGTAAATTCTTTGACTGTGAGTACTTAAAAATAATCTGAACCTAAAAAGTTGGCAAACAGATTTGTCCTTAAAAGCTGGATGAAGTTGAACCCAAGCTTGCGCTCCCTTCATCCAGCCGCACGCACGACGCTTGTCTGGCTTGGGGGAGAGAGGGGGAGAGAGGAGAGAGAAAGGGGAGAGAGGGGAAAGAAAGAGAAGGAACAAGAGAGAGGGGGAAGGAGAGAGGGAGAAAGAAAAGAGAGAAGACAAGAGAGAGGGGGGAAGAGGGAGAGAAAGAGAGAGGGAGGGAGGGAGGGAGGGAAGAAGGGGAGGAGGGAGGGAATGAGAGAATAGAGAGAGAGAAAAAAGGGAGAGAGAGGGGGTGAGTGAGTGAGTGAGAGAGAAACAGAGGGGGGGGGAGAAGAGAAAGAAAGAGAGGGCGAGAGGGGGATAGAGAGAAAGAGAGGGAGAGAGAGAAATGGAGAGAAAAGGAGAAGAAGAGAGATAAAGGGACAAAGAGCTAAAGAGAGAAAGAGAGAGAAAAGCGAGGACTGACAAATGAAGTCACGAGGATTTAATTTGGATATGTTATAAACGATTTAATTTATGATTTAATATCTATAATCTGTAATGGCTAATTTCAACAGATTAATATTTGAGCTTCTTTTCTATTTTATTGAACTAGCGGATAATTAGTTTAGATTGTCTGTTTCATAACCATTGATATTGATAGCAATGATAATGATAACAATTGCATTTATCATAATGATAATAATGATAATAATAATAAATAAAATAACAATAATGATGATGATGATGATAATGATAATGATAGTGACAATGATAATGATCATAATGATAATGATCATAATGATAATAATGATGATATTAATGATTATAATAATGATAATAAAAATGATAATATTAAGAATGATTATTATATAATAATAACAATGATGTGATAATGATGATAATGGTAATAATAATAATGATAGTAATAATTTCATGATAATGATAATAATCATAATAGAAGTGATGAGGGTAATAAGAGCAATACTGATAATTATCATTTCTATCACCAAAATAATGATAGTGATAACAACACTGATGCCAAAAATAATAACTGAAATACTGAAGAGCAGAAGCTACAAATACAACAAGAAAAACAACAACAGCTAATTCCCCGTTTCAGATTTTCTCTCAATCTTTCGTTTTTTTGTTTTTCTTTTTGTTTTTTCTTCGTTTTTTCCCTATCAACATTTGTGTACCTGGCTCTCCTCCCATTTTTATCCATTTTTGCTTTTAAAGACCATTCGTATCTCCAGATTAAAAAAAAAAAAAAAAAAAAAAAAAAAAAAAAAGTATCCAGTATTTAACAGCAATTTATTTCATTCATGTTTTATCAGTTCATTTATCTTTTATCGTTCCTTTTTTTAGTCATTTATCGAGTTATCAAAAGCTTGCATACCTTTTAAGACTTAATGCCTTTGTTCCGTGAATTGCTGGCTTTTTTTTTTTTTTTTTTTTTCTTGACTGCTGGTTCATGATGGATGTGTGGCCATTGTAGCTAAGCTGAGGGGGGAGGGAGGGAGGGAGAGGGGTGGGGAGGGGAGGGGAGGGAAGGGAGAGGGGGTGGAGGTAGGAGGGAGATATAGCTATCATTTTTTCTAGTCTTGTCTGTCTGTCAGCCTAAGTGTTTTTCGTCTTTTTTTTTCTTCCTTTTTGTGTTTTCTGTTGGGGGTTTGTGGTCGTGTTTGTGTCTCTCTTGCAGGATGTAGTAAGTTTCTTCTCTCTCTCTCTCTCTCTCTCTCTCTCTCTCTCTCTCTCTATCTATCTATTCTATCTATCTATCTATTTTTTCTACTTTCTTTCTCTCTCTCTCTCTCTCTCTCTCTCTCTCTCTCTCTCTCTCTCTCTCTCTCTCTCTCTCTCTCTCTCTCTCTCTCTCTCTTCTCTCTCTCTCTCTCTCTCTCTCTCTCTCTCTCTCTCTCTCTCTCTCTCTCTCTCTTCCTTCTTTCATAGACACAAACGCAACACATTCACGAATACAAATAACTGTACATCATAGCTATCTCCTTCACATCACGCCACTTAAACCATGATTGATAAGTGCGCCATAATTTTCGCGATTTTTCAGAGGCAGCCAAAGACCACTTCCCAAAAAAAAACTGCGCTGCGACTGAAACAGCTTCAGCAACAGCTTACAGCTTTAGCTTTACGACAGCTTTACAACAGCTTTACGACAAACAGCTTTACGACAGCTTTACACACTTTACAACACAACACGTTATGGTACGCCTAAGAGGTAATGGAGACCCATACAGTATGCTCTCTCTTTTTATAGTAGAATAGATTACCGGAAATTAAAGGTTCGAAACGAGGTGGCCCTTTGTGAAATATCTGGTTCGGTTAATGTTCCCGAGTTAACTTGTTAATATACGGGA